GGGTGGAACAGGAGTCTCATGTGCAGGGAATCTACTCCCCTGTTTGTCGTCTGGGCCCTTGCACGATCCAGTCCCACAGAGCAGCTCCCGCACAGCCAGTATGAAAAAGCTAAAAGACGAAAATACGCAAGAGAGTACAGAGAGGAGAGGAAATCCCTGTTTTAATATACACCACATGCACAACATGTCTGTGCTACAGCCCTTGGGAGTCATAATTTTGAATGTCCTGACTTTTGTGTGTTTAAAATCTCAACTGCAGCATTACGACTTTTTTTTTTCATTTATTTTTTTTTCTTAAGGAAAGAAGAGAGTATGCTTTACTATAAAGTCAAAAAGACTAACAGATTAACAGTCAAATAAATATCATCCACACATTTATGTGCATGATTAAGCCATTGGACACTCAAGAAAATAGAACTGAGTGCATTTATTTGAATAACCTCAAAGGTATTAGGTGGTACATAAAGAAAAAAGTGACAGCAAGACATAGACTTTTTCATTGTTTAAAACAGTGCAACTCGAGTAACTCCTCTGAAACGAATAAAAAATGAATGAAAGAACAAGTGACACACATCTGAAACACTTTCTGCTTTCCCCATTCTCCCTCTACACAAAAAAGCTGCTGATTTTAATTCTTGGTGATGTACAAGATACATTACAAATATGTGTCTAGACAAAGTTCAGTGCCTTAGTGGTTTGCTAGATATCCAACAAAAGATGGCACAGTGCCCACACATCCTTGTTCCATTAGGAGATCGTGAAGCAAAACTACTTTTCAAATAGATAAAGAAGAAACAAAGACAAATGGTTCTTCTGTTGTGTTGTTCTTTTCCTTAAAAGCATTTAGTATTGCACTGTGCACTGTGGCTTCCACATTAACAAAAGAGCAAGAGGACAGAATTGGTAGAGCAGATCACTTGGTATGGAAGACTTGAATTCCACAGAGTACGCACAAAGGGTTTTGTTGTTTGATTTGTTTTAAAAGGACTTCTGGAGGAGCTCTGGACAAGCCCCATATGCTGAATGCCCTACTTGTAGCTGGCTAGTATTAGGTATGTTCTAGGAGTCCATCCTCCAGTTTACTTTAACCCAAATGAATGTAGTCCATATACTCCAAGACATTGAGAAGCAGAGCACAGTCAAGATGGACAGCTGAAAGTTTGGTTTCAAAAGTGCATTCCTAATTTGCCCTACAGTGTTAACATGGGCACACAGTGTGAAGGGTGGAAAGATGACTTGACTTGGGTTGATGAATGATGCCTTCTACATTTTTCTCAGTGAAAAAGAATAAACTGTAGAAAAAGCACCTAATTTTTACTTCTTCCGTGTGTGGACACATTAATGAACCTATTATTAGAAAAGCTTCATGAAATGATTGTGATGATTCTTCCAAGGAAGCACGTATGAATTCAGACATTAGTCCTCTGTGACTCAGAGCTGGTATGATGCTTAGTCATTACTCCTGTGCTAGTGATGACAGAAAACAGTATCCAGAAGCATCCAAATACCCAATGGATCTTATTTTCACTATCTGAAAGAATAGTTTCATTTAGCAATGGTGAGAGAACTGAAATGAGTTAAGGCCTTTCTGTACAATATTACAAAATCACAGAAATGGCAAAAGGGGTTCTAAAATGATGATCATAAACAAAGAGATGATAAAAAAAAAAAAAAAAAAGTTCTGTCAAGATAATGTCTTAAGCCATGCAGTATTTTCCTTATGGTTAGACTCATGACCAAGACCATAAAAATAGCAAAGGTTGTAACTTCCAGACCTGCTGAAATCTGATAATTTATAATGGAAGCAATAACCACTCCTGAAAACTGCCCCGGGAGCTGGGAGCTGGGTATTGTCCTTTTTGTCATGCAGTACCACAGTATGACATCATATCATCCAGTAGATTGTATCACGTGGGAACTGGTCCATACAGCTCTCCTAGGTCACCTGATGATCAACAATGAATAAATGATAACTTACTCTCCAGCCTTCATTTGGAGAAAAACAGTTTGTTCCCCTCAAATCAAAACATGTGTCCCTCTGTGCATAAATGCACTGTTCATTGCTCCTAGAGAACTGCATGGACACTCATGGGGCTTGCTTAATCACCCCTATTCCACACTGCTCTCTGTCATATCCCAGAGCCTGCAATCCACGCCTTAAGATTTATTTAATGAAACCACCATTCTTGTGGACTGCTGTTCAACCTGCACACTGCACTTAATGAGAAAAACCCACAGAAAATCCAGCAAAGTATAGGACAGCCAGAGCACCATATGAGGCACCATACAAACCTCAGAAAAATCAAACACTAAATATAACTAGTCTGTTTCAGAGTGCAGCAGTCCTGAAAATCCTGGGTAAGTCTACTCTTCGCTTGATAGTCTGTGAGCTAGACATTATGTCTACAGTGCATACAGCTAACAGCGTAAGTGTATTAAGAACATCTTAGTTTCTTTAAAGGGAACTCTTCCATGTTCTCTTAATAGGAAACTCCTGGGTATCTGAGAAGAAAGACAAAGCCATTCTTGGATCTGTAATTGCAAAGGAAAACAGTGAAGGGAATTCCATGATTGTGTCACCTGGCACACCAGTGCAAAGAAGGAACACTTGAACCAGTTCTGTTCAGCTGTTCTTTGGGAAGAAGCAATAGGTGAGTGTGCAGTGGGCTACTTACGTAGCCTCTAGAACCTGAGCTACACATTCAGCACAAACTTGGAAAACTTAGGAGAGAGTAGTGCCTTGAGACCCAGTTTGACCTACCAGGAAGGTAGGCAGAGTGCAAACAGCTTCTTCCACCTCTTCATGCTCATTATCCCCATGGCATCTTTATCTGCATTGCCCGTTCCAGCCAACACAGGTAGCTCCAGACCTCCTATATAGGGGAGTATGAGCCGCGTGATGAAGTGTCAAGTTCTAGGAAATCAAGCTACAAGGCCAGTGTAGTGCCAGATGGCTGTAAATTGTTTTCTCTGGCAACAAAGTACTGGTCTGAAAGCCTATGAATACGTTATTATGAATTCTGCTTTCCTACAGCAGGTTGGGAACACATATCAGTCAGGTTTATTGGCACCATTCAGGTGACTGCTAGTCACAGAGCAAATGGTTTAATAAGGAGATTTGTTCAAACATTTATGTCTCCATTCCCTGAGGACTAATTGAGATTAAAAGCCGTTATTAGTCATAATAAAGATTAACTGCCTGAATAAAGATGGACTCCAAGCTACACTACAATGCTCTTTTACAGATAAAACCAGTTGATGCTATGAAAATAAGAGCACTCTTTGGCAAGAAATGAAATTAAAGCATGTTGAAAATATTTAAAGCAATATAAATTACAATAATAGAAATCCTTAATTATCCTAACATATTACTGGGAGGGATTTCATTAACTCCTTCTGAAACAAATCATTTCAGTTATCCAATAAAAATTTTAATGAGCAATCTAAACTGGAAGTGAACTAAACCATAACTTCTGCAGATTTCTCATAACTAATCACAGAATGTGACCTGCCAGTTATCTCTGAACTGCAAGCTTAACATATAGGATACTGCTTCGAAAGCATCTGAAATTCATCAGCCACCTATTTTGGTGCAGTTTTAGAACTCCAGCTTTAGAATTTCCAGCTCCAGTTTTAGAAATTCCAGCTTCTTGCTGAAAAAGCAAGAAATTCAGTTGCCACAAAGCCAAATGGGAGTCAAATACAAGAATATAAAAATCCTTTCTGCAAAAACTTTAAAAAGAAAGAACGACAAATGATAACAACAAATACCACACCAAACACCACTGTTCACTGAAAGATTGAGCTAGCCAGTACTTGAGTTTAACTTTACAATTGTGAACTTGCAATCAGTTATGCAGATTTCCCCTGGCAAGCCATAACTGAACTTCACTCACTGGGGCACTAACTTGAGCCTCTCTCCTTCAGCATCAATTTTCATGAAATGCGTAAGACCTTAATAGTTCTGAGACCTCTAATCCTCAGTCAAATTTAGTTAAAATTGACTACCAGGTTCAGAAATTACTTATAAGACTGTTAAACAAGCAGGAGGAACAAAAGAGCAGTGCAATCAATAATTTGCTTTTCCTTTTAAAAACAGTTTAAAAGAAAACAGGCAGATAGAAAGTAGGACGTGAGTCAAGGAAAAAGTTCTACCTGATGTTCCTATTTTTTATCAGGAGTCTTCAGAAGAAGGTGCTGGAAATGGCATCCCTTGAAACATTTCAGACTTTACTTAACCAACCATCTGTGAATATATTATAATAAATAACCCTTCAGTCAACGTATTCTTATAGTGAATAATAAAGCACTTTCAGTAGAATTGGTCAGCTTTAAACAGAGATGATTCCTTGACATTTCTCTCAGGAGAGCAAATGTATATGCATACATATAAAATTTTATTGAGATATGAAACAATTCCTAAATGAAAATCTCCTTCAATAATTTTTTTAGGAGATGAAAAAATACATCACTATATCAGAATGGTCCATCAGAATGGACTCCCAGGTGCTTCACAGAGCTCCTCTCCAGCAGGTCACATCCCAATCTGTACTCGTGGTTTTTCCTTCCCAGGTGCAAGACTCTACACTCGCTTTTATTAAACCCCATTTGGTTTCCTACTGCCCAGCTCTCCAGCCTGTCCAAGTCTTGCTGAATGGCAGCACAGCTTTCAGGTGTGTCAGCCACTCCTCTCAGCTTTTTGTTGTTGGCACACTTGCTGAGAGTGGACACTATCCCCTCATCAAGGTTGTTGATGAAGATATTGAACAAGACCAGACCCAGTACTGACTCCTTGGGAGCACTGCTAGTCACAGGTCTCCAATCAGACTCCGCACCACCAATCACCTCCCTCTGAGCTCAGCCAGTCAGCCAGTTCTCAACCCACCTCACTGTCCACTCATCTATCCCACACTTTCTCAGCTTCGTTCTCAGGATGTCATGGGAGACAGTATTAAAAGCTTTGCTGAAGTCAAGGTAGAAAACATCTACTGCCCACCTACCCAGCCGGTAATGCCATCACAGAAGGCTATGACTCTTGTCAGGCATGAGTTTCCCTCGGTGAATCCATGCTGACTACTCCTGATAGCCTTCTTTTCTACCAATTGCTTGGAGATGGCATCCAGAAAAAGCTTTTCCATCACCTTTTCAGAGTCAGAAGTGAGGCTGACTGGCCTGGTAGTTTTCCAGAACCTGCTTCTTGCCCTTTTTGAACACTGGAGTGACACTGGCTATCTTCCAGTCTTCAGGCACCTCTCCTGTTCTCCAAGACCTGTCGAAGATGATAGAAAGCAGTTCAGCAATCACCTCTGCCAGCTTCCTCAGCACACGTGGATGCATCCCATCAGGGCCCATGGATTTGGGCACATTGATGCCATCTAGATGCTCCTGGACCACCCCTTCCTCAACCAAGTTTATTACATACTGTAAGCCAAAGTCTTAAAAGGGGAAACTCCACTCCTGCTCAAGTCTCTGGTGTCTTCCTGCCTTCAAACCTTTCCATCAACTCCAACAGAAGCAAGGTTTTATCAGCAGATTTTACAAAAGAGGTTGCACATATTACTGGAGCTGTGTCAGTACCAGCTGAGTCAGTTCTTGCTTCAAGTATCAGTTTAATTTCAAGGCCTGAAAGAAAGCTGTGTGGAAATGCAGAGTCACAAGAGGAGGCGCAAGGAAGCTCTCCATCTCACCCTACTGAGTGACAGCCCTGTACCAAGGCCATTGCACTTTCACACGACTGCAAACAATTTCCTCCACTCCTGGCATTAGATCGTAAGGGCCAGCAACTGCTGAGCAGATGACAGAAAGAATCCTGCCTGTGAACTACACCAGAGTTCTGACAACAACATTGAACCACCTACGCAAAGGAGAGGAACAGCTCAGAAAACACAAAGTTAGTTGTGTATTGCTATGAATCTTCCAGCCCATCATGCCTACAGGAACAATATTATTTTTTTCTTTCAGTGCAGCTGATGAAAATTGACTGATATTTGGCAGCCAAATAACTGTTTTGTGAAACTTGCAGACTGAAAGTCCAGAACGCTGCTTGGTTTTGCCAATACCTCTTCATGACAGCCCTCAGCACAATCACAGCCTTTTCTCTTTCTGATCAGAACGCTGCACCAACACCAGGAGCTTGTCAAATAACCAAGACATGCAGCCCCAACCCACGGAGGACACAAGACAGCAGAAAAACTGAAAACAATAGTGACGCCTCCTTGGAACGGTACAGTGTGAGATGAAATGTTATTTAAAACAAAGTGGAAAATGATGTTATTTCAATGCAAAGTGAGCTGAAAGTTGCCACTTTGTCCAGCTATCCTACATGTCTGTCAATTGCCTCTAACTTACTGAATAACAATGACAAAAAAAAGTTTCCTCCATTCCTTGCACTTCAGTAAATTAAATCACTCAAGCAACTGTTTACCAGATAAGCAGAACCTACAACTGCCTCTCATAAACTCAGTGTAACTAATGTAAATAGGAAAATATACAGTGTTATCAGTGAAATCTGAAATACAAAGACATTGAATTGGATTCCAAGGTAAATTATACTCTATAAAAGGAAATAAATGGAGAAGTGAATTTTATTTCAATGAGCTGAAGTGGTTGTTTCCAAGGCAGTGTGTTGAATCATCCCTTACTTTCAAGCCTTCAGCTTTAGGAGCAGCCCAACCATGCATTTACTAACAATTGATGTTAATTCAAATTAATTTCTGGTAGCAAAGTATGCTTACAAGTATGCGAAAATAAGAAGGAATGAGACAGATAGTAATATGCATGCAAATATGAAAATATTCTATCAGAGAGTCTACTATTGCTCTGAAGCTTTTGCAAATTAAGTTGTACTGTAAACTCTGGGGAGCTAGTATCTGCAAGAAGTTCTGCTTTTGGCTATTTCATACCAGCTTCTGGTATCAAGACAAGCAGCTCATCACCCTAATGGCTTCATTACAAAAAAACAGATAGTGCCTTTATTCATGCCAACATTGTTTAAATTATCTTTAACATTTTCATAAAGGGATATCATTAAACTTTGCACTTTCATACACATTTGAATGTTTTTAAAAAATCTACCTAGCGATATCCTCAGTTATGGCCACAGAAGGAATACGTAGATAAGAAGAAGTTTTAAATTCTACAACAATAGCTAGAGCCAGTCAGTTCTTATTTGAACTCAGAGCGTAGAGCCATTATATTTTCAGTGTTTGTAGTAACAGCTGTGATTCTTACACATATTTTGCCAATAGGAGGACAAATTTTCATCCAAGTAACTATTCGCAAGCTGAACTGAAAAGGGCAAAGCCCTCAGGGTTTTCAGACAGCTCTGCACTCACCTTTCCCTTCAATCACAGCACTTACTCAACACCATTGTTAAAGTATTAGATCTTTACTTCATCACTGTGGGAAAAGAAATATGAACAAGTTCATTTCTACTTTTGTATTTCTCAGGATTTCAGCAATTCCTAAAGTCTGGTACACAGAAAGGTCTTCTTAGAGACTGCTTGTAGGTTGGCTGCCAAAGGGATCAAATGAAACTTCTTGAAGCTTCATGGATCACATGGACGGACCTTTTCCTTTTTAGAGGATGTATTTTTTCTTGACGGGTTTCCAGTGTTTTAAAACTCTATATTAAGGCAAATTTATAATCATTTCAGATAAAATTAGGATATCTACAAGACTCAGCACAGAAGCCCACAAAACACACAGCAACTGTCCAGAAGCGCTTTGATGTTGAATTTCTTTAACTTGTATGATGGTATTTTCAACTGCAGATATACAAGGTAACATTTTATTAATGGAGTTCATAGTACTAGAGTTTAAGGTTTGTTGCACACAATCAGGTGCAATCAAATACCTCTTCTTAAAGCTTGGTTTCTGTTTTTTCACTTGTCACAGCTGAACTGTAGCATCAACAGATCCTTGCACACTCACAATGTAGCAACAGCCAGACCCACACACTCTTTTTGCTATTATATCTTCCAGCTCTCCTTATCTATGAGGGCTGCTCTGAAAGTAACGCCTCCTGTTTCATTATGTAGGCACAACATCAGAGGGGATGTTGGTGGTATGGCAGTAGAGGTTGTACCTTCCCACCAGTATTCCTTTACATTTTCTTGTTATGTGACAGACGGCAACAGAGGGGCACACTGACAAAATGGCATCTGATATGGAAGTGCCTATGAAGCAAAGGTGTGGAATTGAATTCACCCATACACAAAATATTGCACCCACTGACATTCATCAACACCTGCTGAATGCTGATAAAGACCAACCAGTGGACTTGAGCACAGTGAGGTGGTAGCTAAGAACTTACTCTATCATAGTGTTATTGTGATCTTTGTACCTGATGTTGTTTCCATGGAAATCAATAGGAGGCATTGCTTCGAGAGTCACCTGCATACTTTTATTTGGTTTCTGTAGAAAAAGAGATATTCAATACCCTTCAGGCAGACACATACCTGATGGGCTGACTAACATGTAAATGTTGATCTACTTGATATTCAACTGCATTTCCTGGCATCTAGCTTTCTCATAGTCTGGTAGATGAACAAATACTTTTATGGGCAGCATTCAGTCCCAGGAACCACTGTGGAAGTTTTTCCTTCTGATATTTCTACTCTACTTTCCAGGTTGCCTGAACTGGCCTGCAGGTTGAGCTGTTACAGAGAGACTAACAGAACTACCTGCATGCCTGCAAACACCTTACTTCTCAGCAAGCTTAAGCTAACTAAGTCTGATCTCAGGAGTAAACTACACGTGAAGCAATGGCTGTTGAATATAAGAATAACTATTCACAGGAACAATTTAACTAAGGCTTTGCAGGATCACTCATAGGCAAATGGTTAACACAATCTTTTGCTTCTTAACTAGCTATCTCCCAGCTTCCTCTATTTTCAACTCCTTTAAAGCCACTGAAGCCTAATGTAAAGGTATGTGGGACTTCAAATCTCTGGCAAAGAATACACTTGAAAATCTTCCTTGAAGTGTTCCCTATCGATAACTGAAGGAAGAATGAGAGGGACAGAAAAGAAGGTTTATCCAATTATGTAGCATTACTGAAATTTTAAAGTCAGCATTTTCTCCTAAAATAGGAAATCATGTATGGAAAATGTTTCAAGTTGCAGGCAGAAAAGTGGCAAACTAAAAATCAACAATATAATGCATATCAAACAACAAGAAGCTCTTAAAAGAATACTTAGAGGCATTATAATATTCACCAAAATTAATTTTTCAAATTGTGTGGGTTTATGAATGTAAAAAAGTGGAAACAGAAGATACCAGTGCTACAGAATGTAGAGTATAATCTCCCAGAAGTCTGCAATGTAAGCAGCAATTTCTTGTGAAACCCATGTTGTACTTAAGCTTACGTGCCATGAAATTTTATCTGTAATTTCAGACCTGCAGCTTCTATTATTTCACAGCAATCTCATTCCCAGTCTTCTTATCCCTTAACAATGCTGTCATTATCTCAAAGGCACCAATCCCTGAAATGTCTCCCTGTGATTTCCAAGAAAGCTGGACATAGTTCCATATGAACTATATTTCTCTTGTACACGGCCATGCATTTTATGCCCAAGTTAAATACCAAAATCCCTAACAGACACCAAAATTCCTAGAAACCACTTTTTGCTCTGACTTTATTCCTGAAAAGCAATCCTGAATAGAAACAAGCAAATCTAATAAAACAGTTTTTGGAAAATTTTGCCCATTAATAAAAGATAATAAACATTTAACTAAAGTAGAACAAGTGTGCTCAGTGAAAACTGAAGCTTGGAAAACCAGATGGGAAGCTAGATACTAAACGGTCTGCTACAGAAACAGGACCAGAAAAAGCGAATCCATATCAAATGGCAAAGAGAAAATGTCCTGTTAATATTCACAATTAATGTGGACAAGTCTAAACAGCTGCTATATCATAAAAACTGCTGATTTATCTGCAAACTTTTCTTGGCGGAACACAGGGGACAGAATGTTATGCTTTAGTAGAAGTGTGAGCAAGACATAGGGCTAACTCCCTAGGGCCTCAGCAGTGCAGTCTCCCCCCATTAGCAAGATGTGATGCAGCACATGCACTTCAGGAATTGCCATACGTTCACACAGCCTCCCCCATCCTGCCTGCTGCTGCATTTGGCAGCTAGACAAACCAGAAGGTGTTGGCAAAAGCAGAAAAGTTCAAGAGGAAACCACAGTTTCTCCAAAGAGCAGAGATAGCAGCCCCACAAAACAAGTGCATATGCACAGGGCACCTAGAACAATAAATGTATGGTGTACAGCATGTACATATCCAGTGGGTGCAAACCTCCCGCATATCAATGTGATTTACAGAAAATCTTCCCAATGCTTTTGCCACTTGTACTGTTTTGTTCAGGAAGCTCATCTTTCTCTTAGCAAAGCAACTTCAATTTAAAGTGCTAATTTCATGTGATCATAAGAGTTTATTGTTAAGCATAATTCTTGTACACAGGGAAAAATACACAACCTAGATTAATTACAAGAAAACTGAACATAATTTGCTCAAGCTTTGCATGCATGCATAAGAAGATCTTTAACATACACACACCTGTGACAATTACATTGTATTTGAAGCACATGAAATTATCTTCAGATTTAGATGGGATCACAGTATTAGAAATATTGTGTAAATATATTATTGCTGTAGTCATGCTGTGCCTCCTGACCAAATTTCTTTAAGGTTTGATGCAAAGATTGAGAAGACTTCACCACACCCAGGAACACTCTGAACTGTCTTGGGAACGCGCTGCCCCAAGCAATAGCTCTTTTCAATATCTACGTGCAAGAATATGTTTGAGTTTTCACTATCCTCTGGATTTGTTCCCAGAATAATTTCAGAAAATTTCCAGACCTTTCTGCATAATTAAGCTTTTCTAAAATGCCCTTTAGGAATATACTGTAGAAGCAGAGGGATCACAAACACTGGACCGCAGCACGAAACAGATTATTAGCTAAGTCAGCAATTAAACACACACTTGTACTTCCCCAGAACTTTTCTTTTTTGTTAGGAAGCAATGAGTGAATGGATGAAGAACTAACATCACTTGTTTTGGTCTTCTGAATAGTTTTAGTTCCTTCTGTTGCATCTAACTGTATTTGTCTGATATCTCCGTCCTGCTTTCATCCATGATGTTTGCCAAGTCCGTGCTAGCGATACAATGTCTGCCTTACTTGATTAAGTAATTAATTCGTTTTCACAGCACCTTCTTTTTGATGCACAAACAGAAGTATGCTTCCTAAAACAGCTCTTTGGCCTTTTTTAAAGGAGTAGTCATTAGGGATTTAGTGAGCAAATGGGCTATTCCGAACAATAAGGTGACAAAAGAGAGAAGTCAGTGTTGAACATCAACGCCTATTAATTCTATTTCCCTTAGGAATTCTACTAGTTCTGTTTTCCTTGACATTACAGAAGATAGATAAGTGTGAATTTTACTCTACCCGAGCTGAATATGGGAATATGTTAAAAAGCAATACCTCTGCAATCGGATTTCCCAGGTCCTGCTCTCTCAATCAGCTTCTCTTCTATCTCGCATATAATTTTAATCAAAACTTTTCAGCACTGAAAAGGGTGAAATATATTTATGAATCAAAGACCTGTTCCCAGTGTTGGCCACTTGATTTTCCTGCAAAAGTTTCTAAAATGCTGTAACAGAAATTGATTTTTAAAAGTATTTAATGTAAAAAAGTACTTATTTACTGTATTGAACTAATTTTCTCACTACAGTAATTTTATATTTGTATCTGCATAACTACGGATCAAAATTTACTTAGAATATTTTCATATGAAAGTTTAAATATTGATAGAGGAGAATGTTTGTAAGTAAGTGCAGTTATATTCAAGCAAATGTTTCTAAGACAGAACATTGATGTGCAGTTAAATAGCTTGGCAGTCAAGAGAGACAATATTTCAACAATTCTTCAACTTATTGTTATCTCAGCACAAAAAGGCTGATACTCCCTTTATGGAAAACACTTCTTAAGTCCCCAGTGTATATAAAACATACAGCAGCATTTTTGGCTCGTTAAAAATCACATGAGATTAATGTCTATTTTTGACGTTAAAGACAGTTAACTCTACTAAGACTTCTAGGTAAGTCTCTGATCTACCCAAGAACTCCAAAAAAAGTTATCTTTCAGTGAAATGCACATATGATGAGAAAAATACACATAGTACATAACACTTATGCAATACAGACTAGTTTTTGCTAATTTTATTCATGATTTCATTCTAAATGAGCACTCTTAATAAACTGATTTTATTTTAGGATACAATCATCTAGCTTAATTCAATATTAGAAGGAGATAAAGCATTAATAAACACATGCATTTTTTACTGTTTTGTAAATGAATACTGAATAGAATACTGCCACCTTTTGGCTATGATCTGGACTTAAAATATGACTTCTTTGTAGAACTTTTAAAAACATTTGACATAACAATTATTCTAAAGCATTCAGTATGTCAACAGGCTAATGTTATGCTCATCATTAGCATATTGTTGATGTAAGCATGAAAAGTCTTATTCTTAACTGCTCCGTATTATCCCATTATTTCTCGATAATGAGCAAGCACTTTCACAAGAGCTTTTGTCTTTAACAGAAAAGAAGCAGGCATAGTTTTGACATCAAACTAATGGAACTACTACTTTATAGTCATGGCAGTTCCCTTCTGCTTAGAGTAACAGGACAATGCCTTCATGTAACTCTAAGGGCTTTATAGACACTGATTGACTGATTCTCAGGAAATTCTTATTGGAGAATTCTTCAGTATAATATTAACGTAAAAGCATTTAAAAACACAGGTGAAAGATGCATAAGTCTTTCAGCAGCCCTCCAAAAGAAAGGCTCTAAGGTTTCTTACTGTGAACAAATGATGCCACTAGAAAAGGCAGTGCAGAAGAATATGGGGCCTGGGATTTGGGGATAATCTCTAGCAAGTGTCCCAAGTCATTGCAGAGAGATTGTCCCAACTGTGAGCTAATCAGGTTTCAATTTAATTCATTTATGTTGAATAAATTAAAAAAGAGGATTTGATCCATCTTTTGGGATGAGATTCCTGATTAAAAAGTTTATGAAAACAAGCAGTCCCCTTTTTTGTTTCGGTATTTGTTTTACTAATTGGTGTAACTGCCCATAAAGCTATGTGGAAGGGCTATTGCCTAACTAAAGGGTATTTTAATTAAATCAAACCCTGTAAGCCTACAGCATGCTTACTGTGAACTCAGCTACCTAAACTCCGTAAATAAAAAATGTAACTTGATGAAAAATACAAAGAAAACTCTGAATTCCTCAAAAGAAGAAAGGTTGTTACACAACTCCCTACAGATTGCCAATGCTGCAGTTAAGTGGAATATGCTTTTCAATAATAAGCATTTTCATACAATTATGCAACCCCTACAATTCTGTGATTCTGTGATAAAGTATGTTAAAAAGCAATAACCACAAATCCTTTTGCTACTGCAAAGACACAGTTAATGTATCAGTCCTTTATCTTAGCATTCCAAATAGCTTCTGTAACTGTGATATAGTTTATTAAAGTTTTTAAGCAGGGGGAATTTGCTAGACTGGCAACTTCCATTTCCATCTACAAGTATAACCATTTGAAATGCATACTGAGGACATTTTGGAATTGCAAACCATCATTCGCATTTACAGGAGATCAAATGGCAGAATACACAATTCATTTTAACTAATAAAAGATTAGGTTTCCTTCTTACACAGATCCTATTTAAAACATCTTCATTGTTTGAGTATTGGCGATTGGCATACGGAGTTTCTCTTTCAATACAGAATGGCCATCCTATTTTTCTTAAACTGTGCGATCTTCTCTGTGCTGGCTCTGCTTTCTGTATTTACACAGAAAACCATTTCTTCGTAATTAAGCAAATGAGAAAACAATTTCAGCTTAGACACTTTTTTCCATCTGCCCTATCCAAAACCATTAAAAAAAAAAAGCAACTAAATAATCTGAAAACAACAACTAATAGTATTTTCAAGCTACTCATTTTAGAAACAACAGCTGAATTATTTAACTTTGACAAATAGCCTTCACTAACCTTTACAAATTTGCCTCTGGGGTTAAAATGACAAATGACTCTCACAATGGGACTTATTAAGCTCCTAGAATATTGTTCCAACATGGCCCTTCAGGAAATACTATTTCAAATTATATCAGCACTTCCATTTTTCAAGGGCTAACAACTCAGCTTAGAAAAAAAAAAAAGGAAATAATAAGTTCCCACACCTTTCTTGTGGGCTTAAAGATAATGTAACATCACAAACGAAGGCTGTTTCCACAACTTAAAACACAGGACTTCCACAGTTTCATAACCGTCCCATGCCCATAGGCATCGAGTGCTGCCTGAATTTTCTCAAATGCAATATTGTAAAAGATCAGCATGAGTAATTGATATGTTTTCAGTATTTTGGGAGGGGAAAGGAAAAATGGACTTCTTTTATTTCCTTAGACATCTTAAGGTAATTAAACACAGCATGGGAAATGATATGCTGTTGCAGGCAATAATGTTATCTGTCAGGCTAATTCTCTGGTCAAAATCTCCTATCTGTTTCTGAACTTTCAAAATCCAGTGAAATCAACAGATTCATTCCACCACCTTCAACAGCCTTTGCATAAAACTCCCTAATATTGTATCATGACACAGAGACTTTTCCACAGGATTTCCAGACATTCAGATGTAGCAGCCTTGTTAGGACAGGATAGAATTATTATTGCAACCAAAGACGTTGCATTTCATTGACTGGAAAGTTCTGTAGATCAGTAACATACTATGTATACAGCAGTGAGAAAGGAAAGACAGCTCTCCCTTCTCCCTGCTTTCTGAGGCTGCATTTAGAATGGTGATTCTGAGACAGTTCGTCCCACCGGAGGCACTTACAACACTGCAGTCAGCAGCTAATCTCCCTTTATTTTCAAAGGAGAGAGAAGTCCAAAACCACAGGGTGATTTCACTAATCTGAACATTAATCTGAACAGGAACACTGCTTGTTCCTGTTGCAAAGCATCCAACTGGGTCTTCATTTCTTTCAGCATCTGCTAAAACACCAAGTGGTGTTCTTGGTAGGTGCCTGTTAACAAAAAGTATCTTGACTTTATCGAATCCTTTAATTATAACAACAGTTTATCTGGTTGCATCTTCACTTTTTTATCCATTTCTCTGTTTGTTTTTTTTTTTGTTACAAAATCTTCCAGAGTGTTCTTGAAGCTAAATTCAAACTGCCAAGAAGAACAGCACAACTGACTCACAGTAAGAAAAGAAGAGCTGAGAAATGTGAGAATACTCGGCTCTCAAAATACCTTAGTAAAAAGCTGGGAACTGATTTTACTAAGGCTAAAAGAAAAAAGAAGGAAAATTCTTTGCCTGCTTGTTACCATACACATATCCCATACCCTTTAGGAATGACCTCCTATCTACCTGTGCTCTGCTTCCCATGCTCTGAATGAATCTAACTCAAGAAAGCAGAGGTCTCTCCTGCATTGTATCTCAGCACCTCTGCAGCTGCATCCAGGCTGTTCTGCAAGCTCTGCTGCATGCCTGCTGGTCCCAACCTCTCCAACAGCCAAACCCTGCCCACACATCTGGACTTCTCAGCCAAGGGAAAACAGTGCACTTAGTTCTTGTTCTAGTATGAAAGAAAGAGATGAGGTGCACAAGGAGTGCAGGGCTTTTCATAACCATGAAGAATTGGTTTCCTTTTCTGTCTGTCACCCATTTTCTGTACTTTTCCTGCCTTACCTGTCTGTAACAATTCATGCCCTGTTATGTGATCTGTTGGAGGGACAGCTGTATTTTGTTTCCCACCCATTTTTAGCCTGGTTTGGATCTGCTGTCCCCATTCCATTTTTGCACCCCACTAAATTTGTCCTTAGCTTATTTCTTTGAGCTGTCTTTGCATAATTTATTATCTCCATATGATCTTCTAGTAATAGTCTTACACAACTTTATCTCATGTATCAATCATCCATCCTACATATTGTCCCATAATTATCACAATGAATGTAGGCTACTGCAGCTGTGGAGGAACAATGCCTTCAAAGACAACTCTTGAACAAAAGAAAAGGAATGAACATCTTCACCACAACCCCCCGCGCCGTGAGAAACTCTGCCTTTCCACTGTCTTAGACTCATTACCGACTGGAGGCCCCTACAACAATTAAGTACTGCTAGAGACCAGACTGAGGTCAGATCTTTCCCTCTTTCCTAGCTTCTGCTACCAGTCTATTGTGTTAGCTCTGAGTAAGTCTTTATCATCACCCTGCTTCAATTTTCCTCCTCATCAACTGTGCAGACAATATTATCCCTCCTGGAGAAGCTGATTTGAGATGAGTACAGGGAGAACTTTAAGGCTGGACTGTTTTTGTCACAGTCAGCATGGTGACTCAGCCCACTTCTCATGGACAAAAAACGAGAGCAGCCAGCTTCATTTTGTATTTTCAGGCATCTGTGGTGCACTAATTATCGTAAACAAAATAAAAAGGTAACTACAAAAAAATATTTACTGAGCAACTGATAACTGTGTCTACACGTGTGTTCAAAACTGA